TAATTTGTGTCATGGGATATACGCTATTTCGACTTCGACAGCGGCGAGGAGGCAGAGGAGGAGAAGGACAAGGGGTGTCACGTGTCACGTTGGAAGCAGGCGACGAGTGCGCGAGATCTTCAGCCCATGTTGAGTGCTATCCTAAGACTGAAGAGTCGACGGTGAGGGCCCTGGGGTCGCTTCTATATAGCAAGCATGCCCCTTACTAACGTCTAGTGCTAATCAATACCCGGCGCCCTAGCGCTAGCGGGCGACAAGCATGGCAGCCGTGACATAAGTTACTATTACTATAGTTATATTAGATGACTAAGGGCCTATAACTTATCTAGGCTTAGGTTAGCATTACTCGCTCTTATAATTATTATGCTTTTTATTTATAATGTAGATGCGCTATTCTGATTAATAGTAAGCCTTTACTAAGAGGAGCTTCTTACTATCTGCTTAATATAGATGGGTCGTTTAGTATAGTGTTAGTTATTATCTATATTAAAGGACTAGACTCTTATTCTTTTATAAGAGATTAGTGTTTACTTGTTACTCTGTACTTGTTAGCCTAAGGCTAGCTATTTTGTTTCTGTGCTTATGTCACATGCTATAGCTATATATATATTATACGCCTGTATATATAGTATAATTCGTCTGTGCTAGATACCTTTGTAATATAATTAGTAAAACGGGCATGCCTAGCTCTGTCATGCCTTGTGCTGCTTGACGCAGTTAACATATAAGACTCTCTTAGTCATATACTCTGACGTGACATATTAACCCGCGTATTACGCACAGCGCGCCTGCTTCCTATATACATATTAGGTATGACCCTACTGCTAGCACTTAAAGCATTATGTAATCTAAAGGGACTTTTCAAAAGGCTATGTTTTAAATAGCTAGGCGTCCACAATTAGTCCTTTGCAGAGTGCTATACACTGCATCTCTTCTGTTGTCACGGCTGCCATGCTTGTCGCCCGCTAGCGCTAGGGCGCCGGGTATTGATTAGCACTAGACGTTAGTAAGGGGCATGCTTGCTATATAGAAGCGACCCCAGGGCCCTCACCGTCGACTCTTCAGTCTTAGGATAGCACTCAACATGGGCTGAAGATCTCGCGCACTCGTCGCCTGCTTCCAACGTGACACGTGACATCTGTCAGGAATCCTATTATCAGAGATCCCTTTATCTTAACACGCTCTTTGCATATGTCTCACAGGCATTATATAAGCGTTCTGTAAGAGTAAAGCTATCTGATTCTTGTAATCTAGAGCTCTAGGGCAATAGATTTAGAGGCTTTATAAATAGCCTGTGCTAAAAGCGTATTATCTGTCTCTTTTTCTGCTACTACTAGCACTAATAGAGGTACCCCTAATATCTTAACTTAGTAGTCCTTCCTAAAGATCTTAAAGTCCTTAATAAAAGAGAGGGTCTATGCCTTGTTCTTTATAGCTTTTATTAGTAGAGATATATTAATGTCGCCGCTATATAATATCTGAATTACTGTTACTTCTAGTATAATTTTCTTGACTTCTTTAAGTATTTCTTTATTTAGTAACCCTTTTATTTAAAAGGCTTAGACCCTAACTATATAGTTAATAAGGGGGGTTATAAGCAAATCGCTTATTAGCCGCCTCTCTGTTATAGCGATGCTTGCCTAGGTTACGCCTTAGGATTAAGAGTTAGGTATAGCCTTAGAGGAGGTCTTTAGTAGCGCTTTAATACAGTCAAGCCTTGCCTTAACCCCTTCCCTTACGTTTCCTGTGCGCGTTCTCTGCAGTACGCATTTAATAACCTTGTTAAGCTGCTCCACCAGCTCTCTTTCGCTTATTGCCACTCTGCCATTATTTTCCTCTTCTTTTTTAAGACCCTCAGTAATATCTATCAAGTCTTTCTTTATTTGTTACTAATTAGCGTAGCTTTTCCTTTGCTAGTTCTTCTCCTTCTCTGTTTGTCTGTCCCCCCAGGGAGCATGCTTAACGCGTGTGGGCCGCACGCGTTTTGCTGCCGTCTCTCTAGATGGCTATTGCTTCTCTCCGGCTTTATAAGCCTTGTTCTTATTATTACTTGCTTATTCGCTACAGAAGATTTACTTTGCACTCGCTTAAGCCCTACATTATTTATAATTAAATATACTTCTAAAGTTAAACACTTATAATTAAATATATTTCTAAAACTAATCTTTTAGAGAGTATATCTTAATGTTTTTATCTTTATATATTTATTAATTTATATTTAATAAAATTTTTATAAAATTATATAAATTATTAAACTTTACAGGAACTCTGATCGCAGGCCTCTATGGCATGAATCTGAAGAACTTCATTGAAGAGTCTGATGTTGCCTTCCCTGCTATCAGTGTCATTTGCATCGGCTTAAGCGCTATCGTTGCCTTGTATGGCATGAGGAAGCTGCGAAAGGTGCAGAAAGTCCGTATGTGGGGTGAAGGGTATGGTTCACAATTGAACAGTGTTAGGGGTAATTTAATTTCTTTATCTCTATTATTATAATTATTTCATTACTTTTATTAGCTAGGAAATCTTAACAATTTTTTTACTTTTATTATCTTAATTATTTCTTTATCTTTACTAATTAGAAAATGATATTACTTTATTATTTTTACTTTTTCTTTTACTATTATTTTAATTTTGAAATAGTTATCCCTAGTAGTCTTCAATGTAATTTGAATCAAAACTGATTAAGTTATAACTATTTTAAAACGTAGGTGGTCAAATCTGAGAACTGCCATAAATTTCGGCGCCAAGCTTCGGGCGGGGCTCAACCCTCGGATTTCGGGTCGGGTCGGGTTGAAAGTTAACTCAACCTGAGCCTGACCGAGTCAGGTTAAGATTACTGTAACCTGACTTGCAGGGTTTCCGGGTTGTCAAAAGCTCGAGTTATCCCCTGTGTCACTGAATTGGCTGCTCTAGAATATGATCTTTTCGGGCATGCACCTTTTATTTTGCATAGACAGTCACCATTAATTTGAAAGCGAGCAAATAAATGTCCATTTCACAGGGTAGCAACGGTCCCTTGTGCCGAAGTACAGTGCTCTCATCCAAAATGCTTTGATGCTTATCGCTTTCATCAAGTTGCCCGCTGCCACCTCCCCATGACCTCGACTTTTCTACCCCGCCCGCTGCCTCTTGCTGGAGCGCTCTTGATCATCGTTCGCGTCGGCAGCTTGCGAATCCAACACGGCAGCAGGTCGAGTCTTCTTCCAATGCTGTGGGAAAGGGTAGAGCTGCTTGAGTGCCTCTCGGGTCTTCTTCTGACGAGTTTCCAGGCCGTGCTCGAAGATGTTTCGGACCAGATTGTTGCACGCTTGGACTTCTCGCACCGTCTGAAAGGTCCCAATCGAAGACATGTAGTACCGGGCCTCGGCCTGGGAGTAGTGGTGAACGTGAAAGGCGACCTCTCGGTGGGTGACACAAGCAGAAAAAGCAATGGAGTCGACGATTGGCTGGTCCTCGGCGGCATAAGCCTCTCGGTAGAGCCAGCGCATGGCACTGACGCAACAAGCGCCGCTGCCCGCTGCCTGGTTTTCCGCTTGCCAGATCGTGCCGCCCATGGCCTCCGACTTCATCTCAAAAATGAAAAATGGAAAGCTATTGCCTTTGGCTGGCTGTGTGATCCGTGTTGCTCGTTGATGGTCGATGACTGCGTTCTCCTCGATCGTCCAATCAGACCTCTGGCCAGTCAGGTAACCACAGTGAACGTCAGGCTTAGGCTTTGCCAGAGGAGTGTCATAAGCCTGTTTCCTAGGCAAACCATCGGTGTACCAGAGCGTGTTGCCTCCGCGCCCGACATCAGAGCGTTTGATAGGGAGCATGGCCGTCCCAGTGAGGTCGTATATGTTGCCTTCTGGGCTGTCTGCGACTTCCACGGCAGTACTCACTGCTTCGGCAATCGCTTCAGGCGACAAGGACGAGGACCGCTCGTTGAGAATGGCTGAATCAAGGAGGCTGCGGAGCTCCTGCGGTATCTTTGCTCCCGTTTGATCAATGAATACACCATTATTGCGGAGAATTGAGCGATAATCGGGGTGGGGCGTGGCCGACCGTGAATTTCGACCAGGTGTGGCCGATCCTCGTCCACAACTTTGTGACTGCGACATCTCTTTAAGCACTTCTAGTAACGGCCGCTGTTCTTCGCCTGGATAAGGGACCACAGGTGGATAAGGGATCACGAGAGGATCAGGGATCACAGGTGGATCAATGCAAGACAGTCGTGGAGGAGCACTGCTTGGGCGAGGGAGAGGGCCTTTGGCAATCCAATCGTCAACGCGGCCCCGTCTTGGAGCAGAAGCGGGGGCAGGGTCGACGTCCTTGGATCCGGGTTTCTTCGAAGGCGTCGAAAGCGGCGAAGGCTCTGTCGGTGTCGGAGGGGGAGCTTTGAGGCTGCTTGGTTGAGGGTCTTTGTGGTCAGCTGCCGGAGGAGTGGGTGAAAGCTGCTGGCGCTTGGTCGGTTGCGGACACTCAGAATCGCTCTCGTCAAGAAAGCGTTTGAGGAGCCGTTGAGGCTCTGGACATTCGATGTTCAGAGGCATCGTGGACATAAGATGGCGCAGGAGAACTTATGGTCAAAAAGAAAGAGGAGGATGTTTGTCAAGCGCGCAGCGAGAGCGGAGAGCCCTGGCCCATCCGCAGCCCCAATTTGCCTTACGGGCAAACATCACAGCTGAAGTGATTGGCTGATGGTGTGAGTCCGTCCTTCATGCAAGGGGGCAAGACAGCGATTGCTTGAATCCCAATGTGACGCGCCCCTTTGTTGGGTTTTGCTTACTACATACAACGAAAGAAATATCAAGTTAGATTTACAATCCAATCCTCACGTTGCCACAGAATAGGATTAGCGCTCCCGCAATTTAGCGTAATAATTACGGCGGACTATGTGGCGCAAACGGCCAATTCAAATATTCATCTCCGCAACAGGGCCATGGATTTGCCCACCAAATTTGTATGAGGGATTCCACAAACTTGTTCGCTAAGCGATTTCTGTGAATGTAGACTTGTTGTTGCTGCTGAATGACTGAATTACTTATTAGAGACTCTAGATAGCTATCCTTAGTGTTGAACAAGGGCCAAATCACATGTTGAACGGTTCAAGAGACTATCCCACGCGCCGGTGGTGAAATGGCATCATTTTAGCGTGCCAAGAATTTTGGGTCTTGGCATGACTTTTTTCCCCCATCTTCGGAGGATCAACGATCAAGGTCAACTTCTACATGGAATTGCGCAGGTCACAGCGCCAGCCAAAGCCTAGAACTGTATGGGAAGAAAAGGGTGCTCCTTCTGCAGCTAAAATTATAAATAGTATTATTCGAAAGCTAGAAGAGTTAGCTTTCGAATAATACTATTTATAATTTTATAGCTATAATAATTAGCCTTTTTCATAATCTCCCTTATTAGAGAGTAGTCGCAAAGTATCTAAGTTTATATACTTTTTAAAATTAATACAGGCTTATCTAGGCGATAATAAGGCTAAGGATAATCATGTATCTTAATTTATTAAATAAGCAGCTTCTAACAAAAGTAATAATAATTATTAGGCCTGTACTATTATTAAGATAATAAGCTCTTTAGCTAATATTAATAAAAATTCTATGCTAGTATCCTCTCTTTGTCTAAGTAAGATATCTCTAATAGTATCTTAATCTAATCCTAGTTCTTTTAACTAGATTTGTAATAGTAAAGGAACTACCTATATAAATAACTAGATTAATATATTTAACTCAGACCTTATAATTAATAAATCAGGTTAGTATAAGGTTAAGTTAGGTAGTAAGACTCTCTTTATTTAGGAAAGAGGTACTGTTAATATTAAGCTACTATATAATAATTTAAGACTATATAATACTTTATTTATTCCTTATTTAAGCGTAAATTTACTTTTTACTTCTTATATTATTCCTAAAGATTTCTATACTATATATAATTATAGGCTATATATAGTCTATAGAACTTTAGATAATAAAAGTATATCTTAAGCAAAAAGGCTTAATAGTAAACATTTATAAATTACTATTTAGACAGCTAATAACCTTATTAAATTAATTAAATAAGCTTACTTAATAAAGGAATATAAAAAAGTAAAAGCTAACCCTGAGGACTAGTTAGAAGCTCATTTTAATATAAGTTATTTATATTAATTAAAAATAAGAAAAGCAAAGATTTTTAAGAAATATAATAAATAGTATTGTGGTAGGATAGCTCTTATAATTATGTATACTTGCTTAGCTAATCAGATAATTTAGATAGAAATGCTGTAGGATAAGAGATTCCGCAAGAGAGGGTATCTATGCCTCTTTAATATTACTTACTTAGCCTTCTTCTGAACACTCTTGAATTTGGCTATACATATATAGCCAAATATCCTGCTGCTATCTATAGCAGATATCTACACATCCTTGTCGCTGCTATATAAGCCGTACTAAGGCGAACTATATTGATCCTTAACAATAGTAGTTATACCTAGAGCTATTTGTACTGAATATAAGGAAACAATTAAGGCAGCGAAGATGGTGGATTCGAGTCAGCGCAAAGAGGTAGGAGATCAATTAACCCTGAAAAAGCTAAGGAAGTAGATAAGGAGGAGCAACGATATAAGAATATAAAATGAAACTATGATGGAATAATTAAATAATGGCAGGATGCCTATTGCGGACAGCAGAGAAAGTAGTGGCTCTCTGTAGTAGCGAGCTATTACAGACGAACTGCCTTAGAGGCGACAAGACTGGAAATCAAGACGGTGTGCATAGACTATAACGGCAGGAGACAGCTTATAAGGTATGTTATAATACCAAATATAAATAGAACTCTAAAAGCCCTAATTAGCTAAAAAGTAATATAATTAGTTAAGAGAATAA